TGTAGTTGGTGTAGTTGGTGTAGTTGGTGTAGTTGCTGTAGTTGGTGTAGTTGCTGTAGTTGGTGTAGTTGGTGTAGTTGGTGTAGTTGCTGTAGTTGGTGTAGTTGCTGTAGTTGGTGTAGTTGGTGTAGTTAATGAAGTTGGTGTAGTTAGTGTAGTTGGTGTAGTTGGTGTAGTTAATGTAGTTGGTGTAGTTAATGTAGTTGGTGTAGTTGGTGTACTTGGAGTAGTTGGTGTAGTTGGTGTAGTTGCTGTAGTTGATGTAGTTGCTGTAGTTGGTGTAGTTGGTGTAGTTAGTGTAGTTGGTGTAGTTGGTGTAGTTGGTGTAGTAGCTGTAGTTGGTGTAGTTGGTGTAGTTGGTGTAGTTGCTGTAGTTGGTGTAGTTGCTGTAGTTGGTGTAGTTGCTGTAGTTGGTGTAGTTGGTGTAGTTGATGTAGTTCCTGTAGTTGATGTAGTTGCTGTAGTTGCTGTAGTTCCTGTAGTAGCTGTAGTTGGTGTAGTTGGTGTAGTAGCTGTAGTTGGTGTAGTTGGCATAGTTAGTGTAGTTAATGTAGTTGGTGTAGTAGCTGTAGTTGGTGTAATGTGTAGTTGGTGTAGTATATGTACTTGGTGTAGTTGCTGTAGTTAGTGTAGTTGGTGTAGTTACTGTAGTTGGTGTAGTTAGTGTAGTTGGTGTAGTTAGTGTAGTTGGTGTAGTTACTGTACATGGTGTAGTATGTGTAGTTGGTTTTGTATGTGTAGTTGGTGTAGTATATGTAGTTGGTGTAGTGAGGGTAGTTACTGTAGTTAGTGTAGTATGTGTAGTTGGTGTAGTATATGTAGTCGGTGTAGTATGTGTAGTTGGTGTACTTAGTGTAGTTCGTGTAGTTACTGTAGTTGGTGTAGTATATGTAGTTGGTTTAGTATATGTAGTTGGTGTAGTATGTGCAGTTGGTGTAGTTTGTGTGGTTGGTGTATTTAGTGTAGTTGTTACCCAAAACTACACCAAACTACACCACCTACATCAAACTAAACCAACTACACAACACCACACGAAACAACACCCACTAAACCAAACTACACCAAACTACACCAACTGCACAAAACTACACCTACTACACCAAACTACACCAAACTACACCAACTACACAACACTACACCAACTACACAAAACTACACCAAACTACACCAACTACACAAAACTACACCAACCTACAACAAACTACACCTACTACACTAAACTACACCAACTACACAAAACTACACCAAACGAAACCTACTAAACCAAACTACACCAACTACACAAAAGTACACCAAACTACACCAAACTACACCAACTACAGCAAACTACACCAACTACACAAAACTACACCAACCTACAACAAACTACACCTATTACACCAAAATACACCGAACTACACCAAACTACACCAAATTACACCAACTACACCAAACTACACCAACTACACTAAACTACACCAACCTACAACAAACTACACCTACTACACCAAACTACACCGAACTACACCAAACTACACCAACTACACAAAACTACACCAAACTATACCAAACTACACCTACTACACAAATCTACACCAAACTACACCAAACTACACCAACTACACCAAACTACACAAAACTACATCAACTACACAAAACTACACCAAACGAAGCCTACTAAACCAAACTACACTAAACTACACCAACTACACAAAACTACACCAAACTACACCAAACTACACCTACTACACCAAACTACACCACCTACACCAAACTACACCAACTACACCAACTACACCAACTACATTAACTACACCAACTATAGCAACTACAGCAACTACACCAATTACACTAACTACACCTACTACAGCTACTACACATACTACACCAACTTTTAGCTACTACACCAACTACACTAACTACACCAACTACAGCAACTACTTACACTAACTACACCTACTACAGCTACTACACCAACTACACCAACTACAGCTACTACACCAACTACAGCTAGTACACCAACTACAGCTACTACACCAACTACACTTACTACACCAACTAGAGCTACTACACCAACTACAGCAACTACAGTAACTACATCAACTACACCAACTACATTCACTACACCAACTACAGCTACTACACCAACTACAGCTACTACACCAACTACAGCAACTACACCAACTACAGCTACTACACCAACTACATCAACTACAGCTACTACACCAACTACACTAACTACGCCAACTACAGCTACTACACCAACTACAGCTACTACACCAACTACACTTACTACACCAACTACAGCTACTACACTAACTACACCAACTACACCAACTACATTAACTACACCAACTACAGCTACTACACCAACTACAGCTACTACACCAACTACAGCTACTACACCAACTACAGCAACTACAGTAACTACATCAACTGCAGCAACTACACCAGCTACATTAACTACACCAACTACAGCAACTACACCAACTACACTAACTACACCTACTACAGGTACTACACCAACTACTGCTACTACACCAACTACAGCTACTACAGTAATTACATCAACTACAGCAACGACACCAACTACATTATCTACACCAACTACAGCAACTACAGCTACTATACCAACTACACTAACTACACCAACTACAGCTACTACACCAACTACAGTAACTACAGCAATTACATTAACATTCTCATAGTGGGCTTAGTGGTCACTTAATGTCTCTATATTCGTGACGGTTATCATGAACCCATTACCAATTTTCGCGCGCTGACTGGTTGAGAGCAGTGATCGATAAGTGTAAAAGCGATGGAAATGACGAAATGATGGCGCAATTTATTTTTTCTTCCTCTCGGGCCCGCTTTTTTTCAAAAAACTTCAACGGAAATGGACCTCAATAATAAGCGTCAATGTTATTGTGAAAAAAAAAATGACAAACATGGTCTGTTGTATATAAACGTATTGACAATATAGAAATGACGCCAAAATGTTCAAAATTTGCGGTGAAACCACTTGCTTGCAGCTCGTGGTTGCACACTTGCCTAATCCCTGTACGGCTATTTCCTAGGCCTTCTCGGTCAATACATTTCGGTGACGTATCAGAGGAGAACGCGCGGGAAACGGCTTTACTTCTTCGCTTGCACCACGTGACCTGAAAAGCATTGACCGCGTGGAATATTAATGAGGCCCCAGGGACTAGGAAAGTTTTGAACATTTTGACGTCATTTCTATGGTCGATAAGAGCAGAGTTCGAAGAGGGGATAACAGTATAGGCCATGGACAATTGTCGTAGAGTTGTCAAATGACCTGCACAATCACTCCCTTAAAATTAAACGCTGGTACTTCCCGTTTAACATTTACAGTCAGTTTAATTCCCCACCCTTTCTGGAAAGTTCAGCATATTAAAAATGTCAGGTATGCGGATAAATTCCAGTTTTCAATTAATTTTTTTTTCTTCTTTCTTTAGTCTTCTTGAATCCAGGTGTTCCAAACTTATACATTTATATGTTTTGCTAGTTGTGCACGTGCATATGAAACTTAAAAACAATGCCAGTGAATAATGAGGACGCTCACTTGTAAACTCAAAATCTGGGGGGAAAACTGGTTATATTTGAGGATCTATTTAAAAGCCTTCCCTGTTTTCAATGTTCTTGAAACTTGCAGGGAATATTTCTTGACGATTGATCTTGGGATTGTCTAATTTATAAAAAGATTTATCGAGCGATTTTTGGAAAAATGCGAAATTTTTAAGTATGGACCAAATTACGTCCAAAAACTGTATCAAAAGCAGCTGAATGCAAGTTAATAAAATTCTTCTTACTCGCAATCGCCCAGAGCAATTCCCCTCTTTTTTCGTATGCAGTTTTCAATGGAATCAAACCACTATGAGATGAAGCCTCGTTCCCAAAGCTTATCATTTTCTTACAATATTAGCGAATTGTGTAGCTAGCATGCTATTTCACTGTTTTTATTATTCTTAAAACTACATTTCAAAATATTTCGAAAACGCTCTCATAGAATTTGTTCAAACTTTGCCATAATAGAGGCAATTATAGCAGGTACATACGCCCTTAAGCAATTTCTTCAAAAAACTCCTGGAACAGAGAAACGCAAAGATAAATGAAAAACGTAATGGCGTCATTACGTTGCCATGGCGACTCCGACTGCAATAAAACCCAGATCATAAGAAATTTTCATCTTTATATAATACAGTTGTGGTAACCTTTTTTCCATATCTTTACTCATGCCGACATATTTAATGCTCAAAGTTGGGAGGTATCAACCCCAAAAAATCCAGTCGAGCCACCTTAAAGGACAGAAATTTCAATAAATTAATGTAAAAAGTACTTCTTAACATTAAAAAAATACCTGACATGGCTTGGTCTCCCAGTCACTTCATTTATGAAACCAGAAAGGACTGAACCAAACACTACACTCTGCTGAAATCCTTGAACCATTGCACTGACTGTAGGTGACATTGGCACAACTGAGGCAATCTTATTAATGATTTCTAAAATCTGAAGGATTATCTTGTCTGAGTATTCCTCCTTGGAAAGATTAAGGATGTACTTCCAGGCTGCAGAAAACCTAAAGAGGAAACATAAAGAAGATTCTGTCAAACCTTGCGACTAACAGTCCAAAACTGTACTCAAAACAACTGCCTACTTCATATATATAGAAACCTCAACTGCACATTGTACAATGTATACTAACCAAGACAAAAAGGTGTAAGTAGATTGAATATGCATTTCAAGAACACAGGCAGGCCAAACGAACAATGTCAATGTACTGCACTTAACTGGCCAGTCACAGATTGTTTTAGCTGACAGAGATTTCTTAATTGTATAACCAAACCTCTACTGTATGTCCATACAGTTAGATTCTGATCATTATCTCTTGTTTTTTTTTCTATATTTAAACTAATTGAATTATATTAATTAACTATCGTTATTTTTATTTTTGGACAGTCAATCCTTATTTTTCACATGGTCACACACAGAAGAGTCCATTTGGTTCAGATGAGGATGGGATAAAAAGCACTAATTGCAATTATTGTATTAACTAATATAAATACCTTGTGATTTCAATCATAGTTGCAGATGCACCTCTGTCTTGTGCAGAGTTTGACAAATGCATCAGAAATGACTCAATTTGAGCGTCACTTAATGAATAACACCTTTGCAAGATATGGGAAAAAATAAGTTAATAATGGTTATGAATCCTGTCAGACTCCTTTAATATATGTTTTTGTGGACCTGACGGTGCACAAATTCGATAGCATTCCAATCATTTTGATCATATTCACCAATAAAAACAACACAACAATTTAATCACTCACAATTTGTGAACAAGAAACAAAGAACAAGATTTGTGCTCTTACAGCACCCAGTGGCCTCTGGTGTCTAACATTTGTTCCCGGGCAACCAGAAAATCTTAGCTTTTTTCATAGAAATAATTTTCTGGGCACCCTGGATTTCACAGGTACAGGTCGATGCTTGGGCCCCCTTCAATTTTTCTTAGAGCACAGCCTTAAAGAATTGTACACCATCAGAAAACCTTCAACATAAACTGCATCACCATTGTTTTTACCTTTGCCAATCCTACTCCCGTGCCCAAATTTTGGTCAATCCCACTTCCTGTTCTCGTAGCAAAACCAAATCCCATATCCCCTATAAAAGGTTCGCAAATCCCACACTATATTTTGGAATACCCTTCTGGGATCTAGCCTATATCTCCACTACCATAAGTACCCTTAGCTTGGCATTTACTACATGCAATGCTTTGTCTTATGTGAGAATTCTGTCTTTGATCCTGCATACGTAAAAAATTTGTTGACCTACGTCACTATCTCTGGTTCCAATGCAGTTCCCTCCTTTCTTCTACACTTTGTTACTTCTACAATGTCTCCCACAGCCAGGTTAAGATGAAATCCTTCATGATCAGTGTCATCTTCCTCACGAAGGTCAACAAAGACTTCAGACAGTGAGAAACTGCCAGTTAGTCCTCTGCAGGGATCTTTCATTTTTATCAAAATGCACACCTTTGCTTTTTTACTAAATTTGCATACCACGACACCTTTAACTTTGACATTTTCCTCAAACAAATCAATTTTCTGCAGTCTACCTGTTTGCTCAAGATCAAAATCGGAAAAACTTCCTTCAGTCTCTGATAATTCTACGTACAAACTGTTTAAGTTCATCAAAGAACTGTTTGGAATGCAAATTTTCCGTTAGGCAAAAATCCTCAGATTTCTCATCAATAAATTCTTTGACCAATTTGTGGCAGAATTTATATGTTTTGTGATGTGGCTTCAGTTTGTAATCATTATCTGCAAATCCTGCTGGAACCTTCACATCTGTCAAAAAGGCCTGGAAATTTTCCTCCAAAGTGCGAAACAGTAACGGATTCTTGCAAATACCCAACTCTTGTAGATATTTCACCAGCTTCTTGGCCTCTCCTGAAGCCATTTTGATGACTGATATATTTTCATCAGCAGTAAAGGAATAATTAACACTTTCAACTATTCCTGTGGGAGGGATAGGTGATTTGCCATGAATGTCACCCCAAAGTTTCTATTCTTTTTAAGTACTTCCCTGTCTTCAAAATCTCAAGCTCCTTCTATACTTCCAAATTCCTTTGCCTCCCATACAGCTGAAATACATTGTCGCGAAAGGCAAGCCCAGAAACACCTCATACATTTTTTCTCCTTTGTAGCCTCCGGTTAGGAGCCAATAATATGCTAATGAGACCATCTTTCCGGGAAATACGTGTACAGAATACCTTAAAGGTCAAATTCCCGGAATCTTCCAACTCGAAGACATTCGATTGTTGTTTCCAACAAAGACAGACATCGTTTCCTGTGATAAAATGACCATAAGTAACCAAAACAAGGCCTGAAATAGAGAGACATCTCGCAGAACGGTGAGAATACATCCGGCCATTCGCCTACCATTTTGAAACACGACAAATTCTTTCTTACAGGGGCAGAGAAGGGAAATTTTGCCTCGTTTCAAAATCGAGGCGTTGCGGAAGTCAAGGTACATTTTTTCATTGATTTTATGCGAATAACACAGCCCATCACAAATAAATAACACAACAGGTTGTCTTCGTGCTGCCGTGTTAAGGAAACCAGTTCTATCGAAGAACTTTCGGTACGTTCTTCACTCTCAGGGCGTCACACTTAAAGACTACGTGACAAGGCATTGTCACGGTAGTGTTCTTCAAGGAAATCAAAACGGTTTTATTGACAAAATACTTTAAAAAAAAAAAACATAGTAAAAAAAGTCGGTTTACAGCTAGCTCGCTGTTTGCATCTTATCAAAATTGTTTGGCCCTTTACGCTGTCAAACCCTGGACCGCATTGATCGTAGCCTCATAAATACTACAATTGTAGCTGTCTGAAAACAGGGTGGTAACTTGGATAAGACTACTAAACCCTCCGTGCTATTTGTAGCCTGCGAACCAGTCGTCTCTCATCGCTCCGTTGCAGCAGCATTTTCGGGTCCATAGCGGAGATATTGCAATCCTGACGTTTTTTTCAGTCCTATTGGAATCCATTAAATTTACAAAAAGGTATTGATCAGAAAGTCCAACTTTTCCTGAACGAAGAAGGTTTGTATTATCAATACATAAATAATTAATTCCTTTTGACGGGTTTTCTTCGTAATTTAGCACCATCTGCAATTTGAGAACCACGAATTCACATCTTCAAACTGTAGGGTTGCCGTATTAAAGGTCACCCGATGTAAGGTGATCGGTATTTTCCCGCCAGCGATTGGAATCCAAAATCCCAGTTCAACTGCCAAGGAAGCGAGAAGCCAGTATCTGGAATGCGGAATCTATAGCGTGGAATTCAGAATTCCAGCCCTGAATTCTGAATTCCACGCTATAGTGGTAACCTAAGACAGTCGGACTGTCTTAGGTTACCATTAATTACTGAATCGAAGTGTCCATAGTACAAAATGACGATTCTAACGGAACCTGAACCGGACTGGATTTGACGTCACAAGACAAGATGATGTATTAAACTCAGCTCAGTTTTACAACAAAATGGAGAGCGAGTTGGGATCATCTAAATAGCAAAGGCTAATCTAGTGGATGAGCCCCTGGACAATAACCAACTAAGTGTGCAAATCCTTGCTTCCAAATTGAATAACACCTGATAATACTTGAAAAAGGCCACTGATAGAAGGCACAAACTAAATATCTTTAAAACTGATTGCATTCAATTAAACTTGAACAACACAACCCAGCTACAGTGATTATACTTCTTAGACTCCTCTTAATGTTTCCAGTCATGTCAAGATTCCGAGGACGGCAAAGAAGACCCAGAGGTCAATCGAGCTTGTGCGATAGCTCTATGTCTGCTTTAGCAGACCAAGAGGAACGAATAGAGATCCCTCCGGAAAAAGTGGGACTTGTTATTGGACGTCAGGGAAGGAGACTGAAGGAAATCAGAGAAGAATGTGGCGTTCAAATATTCATCAAAGATAATCTTGCTCACTTGCGGGGGACAGCAGAGCAGGTTCAAAGAGCCAAAAACATGATTGAAGAAATCCTGAATACGGTGAGCACATACATCAGTTGTTTAACCCTCGGATGTACACGCAAATTCATACCCCCACTGTGGTACAAGGCGGGGGGTGTTGGAACCCCTCCCCAGAGTTTTTGATATGTTGCAGTATGTGGAAACGATTTCCACTTCAGTGGAAAGCCTTTGATCTTTTCTACAAGATGAGTTATATTTTATGGGTGCTGGCGCTGCTGGAGGCCTATGACCTAACCAACAATGGCCGCCATCTTGGATTTTAAAAAGAATTATAAATCAGGTTAAAAACGCGAGAAATGGAATTTTTTTATGCTTGATATCTAAAATAACACATAAATAAGCACTTTGCATCATTTCATCGACCAGCTTTAATTTTTATTGTTGAAAGAAGTTGAAAAAACATGCATTTGGCTTGACCACCTGCTGCTTATAATGCCATATCTCGTAACCATAGTTACTGACCATCACTAAACTTGTCTCAAGATGCGCATGAGGGATGAACGAACAGCTACTGAAAACATCAGCTGCTGATGTTTTATCGTTTAGGAAAAAACTCCAAAAAAACCTCAGAGGGAGGGGAGGTGGCAAAAACCTGTCTTGCGACAAATCAGCTAGTTGCAAGTTGTGGGAATACTGACTTCTGATTGGATAAAATTAAGCGGGAGTCACGCCATACGCGGGATCTACGTCACTTGCTACAATACAGGTTTGCCTTGGGTCGGTAAAACGCGCAACATAAAAAGATTTTGTTGCAAGAAGTAGAACTGCTATCCGACTTTCTGCAACAACTTTTCGCAACCTGCAACACTGACCTGATTTGTTGCAAAACAGGTTGATTCGTGGGTGGAGGAACATGCAACATCACTAGTCAACTCGTTGCACATTTTTGCTGCCCCTTTTTACATGACAGCGAGAATTATAGATCCCTCATGAAGTACTATAGGGCAACTTAAAACTACACTGAAAATTAAAAAGATCTGTTTCAGCCCCAAAGTGTCATCAAGCCAAAGTCTGATTCAGCCCTTCCTGGAGCCATTTGAGCACAATTTAGGCCAAAAAAGCTCAATCAAAAGGCTATTCCAGTCCACGGTAGGGCCCATTTCAGCCCTAGCTAATTGGACTGTATTGGCCCTGATTTAGGGGAGCCAAATTAGACTCAAAAATAGGACTGTATTTTACTCACCGAAACGGCCCTATTTTTAGGGCTAAAACAGATCTTTCTGATTTACAGTGTATAAAACATGTATCCCGCGAACATACATGCCCTCTTTAAAAATATCCAAGGGAAGGGATTTGACGAGTTAGAGCACAGAAAGGGTAGAAAAATATATCATCTTAGGTATCAAAAATGGTCTTAAATTAAAATGTTTCGAAAAGACGTGACTTAAGGCTATCATTTTAATTTATTAAACGTTACATGAAAATGGAAAGAGGCGATTTATTTATATTAAATTATTATGTTTAAGGGGTAACATACATTTTTAGGTAACTGAGGTATACGAAAGGGGTACCGTTTCTGTCAAAAGGGGTTGGACCTCGGGGCCAAATCTCCCCGTATAAAACTTTGTCGAGTAGAACTCCCAACCCGGAATCGACCTCGTTTTCTTGCGTGTTCTCACTGGAATGAAGAGAAGGTTTATTACGAAAGGATGATACTTCCAAGCCACCGTCAGGGTACGAACCGTTTGCGTGCTTTTCGCAGTTCATCTTCATGAATTATTAGAATTATGAAAACGCGGATTTTCTTTTATATTTCTGACAGAACAATCGAGAAGAAGGTACCAGCTTCAAAAAACTGGAGAACTTACTGATACCTCAACATGTGATTGGTCAAGTTCTTGGCAGAGGACGGGAAAGGTTGCGAACTATCCAAACTACAATCGGTGTTGAACTTAAAGTTATCAACGACACCTTCTACATCAAAGGAGCGACTAAAAAGGAAGAGAAACAAGCGGAACGCCAACTAAAAGAGGCGGCGGTATGTCTTAATTCTAAAGTAATTAAAAATACGGTAGAACGGAAAGCAAAAACTTGCAACTAGTAGAATAGCTTCGTATCGCGTTTTACCACGCACGAATCAAACCTGTCACTGAAGAGAGGATAAGTGCCTTTATCCTCTCTTGAAACAGTCTTGCACCAAATCGGGTCGTTGCAGGTTGCGAAAAGTTAGGGACTGAGCAATAATTATCAGGAGAAGGGGGGGGGGGGGGGGAAAAACTAGAGGGGGGGGGGAATTAAAAAAAATTGCTGCCAAAAAGGGGGGGGGGGCCAAAAGAAAAATAACCAATTTGCGGGGGGGGGAGGCGTGGGTTTTATTTATCGGGAGGGGCACAGGTTTACCTCCCGACAAA